TGCTTGCTTCATCCCTCCCAGGCTTTCCTCTCCCTGCCTTCCCCAAAGAAACTGAACAAAACCCAACCGTGCCTTCCTGGCACCAGTATCTACATATTCTAGCCACTCATCTGAACTTAAGACAAGAAAGGGTTCAGGTTACACCTTTGTCTTGAGAATGTTTAGAGAAGTGGACTTGTCTCTAAAGAAAAAATGTCTAATTTTGAAATTCCCTTTTGCTTTGCCTGTTACACTGTTTTACAAATCTATGGGTGGTGTAGAACTAATACTAATGCAGAGCAATTCTTGACTACTGGCATGCAAATTCTATTTTATAAGGTAGACTTTCATTGGTTTCTCTCTCTGGTGTTAAGAAAATGTTCTGGGTCCTTCCACACATCCATTTTACCACTTTTATGCTCTATATGTTGATGATTTTCAACTTTTCCTTTGGTCTGCTTGTAACATCTCAACAATTTAAGTAGAATCTTTAGCAAGTGTTCATTTTATATATGTATGAGCATCTGGTTTTACCCCACAATTATCTAAAACTTGATAAGGGAAGCTTGAGCTGAGAACTGACACACCTGCTCAGGGTGTGTCAGCATAATAATAGAGGGTTCACTCTGAGGCCTTGGCCTTTTCCTTTCCTTCTCTCTCCTCCACCCCCATCCCAAGACTCTTCAGCTGGAAACTTCTTACTTCAGGGAAGGTGTTTCCCCTACCTTTGTGGGTAGGTTTAATTCTCATCTACCTAACGAAGGCAAGCTGGGTTGTGTACTAAATCTACTAGAGCCTGGAGTCATTTGCAAATAAATAAAATTTAACTTAGCCTCTCTTCCTAGCAGTTCTTAATGTCAGTGACAACAAGAAGCTACTGAGCAATTTTCATAACTAAAGGGCAAGCTGTGGATATGAATGCTAAATAAGGCTCTTTAAAGATAAGAATCAAAAGCTATCCTCTTCCTACAGTTAGTATATCACTGCCTTACTCTGCCTATCCCCCTTCCTGTTTCCTGTCTAATGTGGCTGCTGGAAGGCACACTGTTCTTCACATATTCATCAAAATATATTTGGTGCCCAAATAGATCAGAGCACAACCAGAAATATAGGTATATTTGAGCTACCTGGGAATTTCTGGAGCTGTGATTGTGTTAAAACTCAACAATTCTGAGATGATACAATGGATACAATGGACAACCAGGATCTAAAATAAAATCACTAGCACCAAACTCATTGCGATTTTTTTTTTCCCTCACTACAACTTGACTAATGTCAATTTATAGGATAGTGGTCTTGAGAATAAACTAAGGAATCTCTTGTTATAAATACGTGTATGCTTGTTTTTTCTGTATTTTTAATTTAAAATAATTTTTTACTTTTGTTTTATTTTTGAATATTTTATGCTACTTGTCTTAATTACATTTTTGTTATTGGAATAAAATATCTGACACCCACAAGTTAAAAGCTTTAATTTAGCTTTATTTTAGCTCACAGTTTATAGAGGTTTCAGTCCCTAGTCAGCTGGCTCTAAGACAGAATGGCATAAACAATGAGTATGGCAGAGGAGAAAGAGTCCATGGCACGGCAGACAGGAAACAGCCATCAGGGAGCCTTTCTTTCCCTTTTTATTCCATTCAGGCTATAAGCCTGTTGGCTGCTGCCACCCATACACCAGTGGGCCTTCTCATTATCTACAGCCATGGCTATGCTAAGGTCATCAGTGGACTAATCCAGTTATCACATACTCATAATCAGTATTACACATCCATGATCCAGCCACCTCCCCAAAGCTACAACAATGAACATAGGAGGCTTTGGGGGGGTCAGAATTTAGACATAAAGCATAATATCCCTTCCCAGCCCCCAAAAGACTCATGTGCATTGCTTTATGAAAAATACATTTAGTCCATCTCTAAGAATTGAAAATGTCCTGACAGTTTCAGCATTGCTGAAAAGTCCAAATCCAGATTCTCTTCTAAGGTTTAAGGCAACCTCTTAGCTGCTAACCCCTGAAAATGAAAAGAAAGTTAAACACTTCCAACACATCATAGCACAAGATAAACATTCCCGTTCTAAAAGGTAGAAATAGGGAGATAGAAAGGAAATGGGACCAAAGCAAGAACAGAACCCACAGGGCAAATATTAAATCCCATAGTTTCATGTCCAGTATCTGGTACAAGCAGTGGCAAGATGTGAACCCCAAAGAGGTTGGGTGATCCCACCCCTATGACACTGCTAGTGGTTGTAGCCTTCATTACTTCTCTCTTGGGCCAGCTTTGCTCACTCCTTGCAGTTGTCCTCAGACAATCCACATTCCTAGCCTCTCTAACTTTCTGCAGTCCCCATATTTTGAGCTTTATACTCACAGCTTCACACATTGCACTCTCAGGGACACACTGTCTGGACTCCCAGGCTTTATTCTGAAATCTGGATGGAAGCCTTCCTCATCCCACAACTCTTGAATTCTATATGTACCTAAATCAAGGACTATATGGATTATACCAAGGTCTGCTGCCAGCTTGGGTAGTAGCCAGGTTTTCTTCTCTCTTGGCTGCAGGGGCCAAGTACCTGGGTGGTTAGGTACTACGAACCCAATCTGGAGGAACAAATTCCCTAGGCTACCACCATTCTCAACATGAGTCTCTGGGACTCTCTTCTCAAAGAAGTCCTTACCTTTGCATTTTTGAGGCTGCAAATGGTGGTATCCTGCTCATTCTTGTGTGGCCCTTGTTGCATCAGGTGGGGGTCTGGGGAGCTAGAGGTCTCCTGTAGCATGACTTCCATTCCTCTGGTCTGTGACTTCACTCTGGTGAGGAATGCAACAGTGGGGCAAGGCTGACTGAAAAGCAAAGAGCCCTTTAGCACAGCATGAGGAACTCAGCAATGAAAGCAGTGCAAAGCAGAGATTTATTTTTAAGACAGTGAAGATGGAGGTGAAGCTACCAACTGACATAGCAGGGAGAGCTCAAATGATTTTTTCAACATGGGGTCTTTGCTCTTCCCATTCTTTATAGGAGTTCTCAGCCAATCAAGGTCTTAGCCTGTACTGTTGGAGTGAGTTAAGTGTCATGGAGTCTTAGCTGATTGGTGTGCTCTTGGCTGATCAGGGCCTTATCCTTTGTTGTTCGGGTGAGCTGTTGCTAGGGTGAGCTAAAGGTCATGGGGTCTAGGAACTTTCAGCAAATGTATGTAAGGTGGTCCTTAAAAAATAACTTCCACACTTGCACAGGTTTCACAAAGGACAATTTCTAGTAAGTGAGTGGTCATTTCTATAACCATCTGTCATGTCAACCATGCCATGTTAGCCACTTTATGCCCTATATTCCTGTCTATCTCCCTTTCTTTACTGTCCTTTAATGCTAAGGCTATTTTCATACTGTCTAGTTCCAAAATTCTTGGTTTTTAATGCCAATTGTTTCAACAACCAAGTCCTCTTCTGCTCCATCTTTGTAGTCTGCAACTTTGCTGGTTTCCTTTCTGGCCAAACTCAAAATTTTCAAATCATTCTGCTGGGCCATTTGCTCTTGATTCTCAAGGTAAAGCTGGCTAAGAGCCTCCAGCAGTAGATGTGCCACCACCTCAATATGAGACTGCCTTGAAATTTATTTGAGGTTTAATTCTCTGCCTTTACTCTCAGTTTCCTACAATTTCTCTGGACATGATCAAAATGCAGACAAATTTCCAGTCAAAGTATGACACACAGGGTTTGGAGTCCAACTGACAATGCAGTCCTGTTCCCAGCAGAAACCTCCTGAGCCTGGACTTTACTGGCTGCATTACTCAGCATTCTGGTCTTCTGTGCTCTGACAAGAATCTCCCATGAAGCTCACTTCACAGCATTCTACAGCTGCTTTGCCAGGTGGCACCTCCAAACATTTCCAAATTCTTCCTGCAAGCCAGTTCCAAAGGCTCCTGAACCACATGGCCAGGTAGTACCACAGCAATGACCCTACTTCCAGTACCAAAATCTGTCTTAGTTGTTTTCTCATTGCTTACCTGGCATCCATAATTTAAAGAAAGAAATGTTCATTTTATCTCATAGTTTGTAGAAGTTTAAGTCCATAGTCACCTGGCTCCAAGGCAGGGTGGCATCGCAGATGGGCTTGGAGAAGAAAAACAGTCCATGGCAGGGCAGACAGGAAGCAGCAGCACTCAAAGCAGGAGGTGGGGGCCCTAATCCAAAAGAACTGGTGCCCTTGTAAGAAGAGACATTAGATCTCTGTTTCACCACACCTGCCCCCATGTGAAAACAGAGAAAAAGCCATGGAGACACAGTAAAAAGGCATTAATTTATAATCCAAGAAGACAAGCCTCACCCCAAACCATCCCTGCTAACAAATTGATCGTGAACTCCTAGTCTCTAGAACTGTCAGACAATGAACTTCCTTTGTTCAAGCCTCCCATCCAGTGGTATTTTGTTTTGCCAGCCCTTCCAAACTAATATATTTGTCCAATTAACTTCCACTAATTAAAAATAATTGCTGTGATTGAAGAGGGTGGGATCTCTAAGAGGACACTGAAGATTGCTTTAGCACAGAGAGAAATCCTCTATAAGAATTCAAGGGAATATTTCTGCCTAAAACAAAAATGTATGGAAGCTCACTTCAACTTTACTTCTGGCCCAAAGTGCAGGAGACTTGTGCGTCTCTTTTAGTAATTATAGGATCACTTTATAGAGCAGAAAATATATCTTTTCCTCCACTCATCTTAGGTTTATTGACCATGTCCTTGTAACAAAAGACAGATTAACATGAAAAAAGAAACCAAATTTATTGGCTATAAGTTTTATATGACATAGGAGCCTTCATAAGTAAACAAAGACCTGAAGAAATAATTAGCCTTGAATGTTTTTATAGTAGGTTTGATAAAATTTGGATAGTCATAGAGAAATATGACAAGGAAAATGATCTAATGGTGATAGAATGGATGAAACTTGGTAAGATCTATTTGTTCAGATTCTTTTCTGTGTCCCTTTGTCTTTGGAGATTCTATGATTCGAATCTGGAATGTTTCTCAGAGGGCCATGCATCAAAAGCTTGATCCCTAGCCTGTGGTATTACTAGGATGTGTTGGAACCTTTGAAAGGTGGGGTTTAGTGGAGGGAAGTTAGGTCTATCAGGGGTATAGCCTTGAAGGGCATGTTGAGATGCCAGCCTCTTCATATCTCTTTTTCTCATTTCCTGGTTACCATAAGGTGAGTAGATTGCTCCAGAATGAGCTCCACATGTGGCTCCTTGGCACTAATGCGAAGCAATATGACCAATTGATCATGGACTAGAACCTCTGAAACTATGAGATGATAGAAAACTTTTCTCATTGATTGATTGATTGGTTGGTTGCTGTTCTGCTTGAGACAGGATCTGGCTATGTAGTCTAGCGTAGGCCTCAAACTCCCTGTGATTCTCCTGCCTTAGCCTCCCAAGTGCTGGGATTACACATGTGTGCCACCATGTCCAGCTGCAATATTTCAGGTATTGTCACAGTAATGGGAAGCCAACTAACACCGGATAAAGATATTCCTTTCCTCTGGGTATAGGGAGGGCATCTTTACATGAGGGTCTTCTGCTTCTGGAGAAGGACATAAAACCCTTCACAGTTTTATGACCTGCTTCAGGGGAAAATGGCAGAGGAAAGATCGGCATGACTTTCCTGCTTTTGATCTTTTTCTGATTAAGTATCTAATCTGCCAGAGTGTCATATTTTGGTGTAGCATGTCCTCAGCCTCAGAAACTCCATCCTGAAATATTTCTAACATTACATTTAAAAGTGGGAGTCCTAAAAATCAAGAAAGGCATGATCTTTTGAACCCTGCATAAAGATACATCTTTATATAAAGATATAAATATAAATATATACAGGAATGATAAGTGCACAATGCATATTTTTCAAAAGTAGTCAAGATGAATAAACCTAAAAGTGAAGCCCCAATTAAACCTTTGTTTATGTGTATTCACACTGTTTAGCTCAGCCCCATTTCTATCATTTCTGTTCCAAAAGACCCTGTCTCTAGCAACATTTGAAGCTAAAGCCAATTGTCTGCCTCTTCCTGATCTCCATATATGGAGGACTTCCTCCTTGTAGCTCCCTGTGGCTTCAAAGTTTCTGTCCACTCTGCATTATGTTTCTGTCTTCTTCAGAATCTTTTAAAGGCTCCAGTCCTTTACCTTGATATTTGATATTATCTCCAACAATATTGCTTCAGTATTCTTTTGTAGGTTTTTATTCTGTCACTCTGATATCATCTGAGGTTGTAATCAGGCAGAACTCCTCTGTTCCCTGAACTAGATGCTTTATTGTCTCTGTTTTTACTCACTATTACCCACTATTTACAGTGACTCTTTCTTATGAAAAGAGAAAAGCTATCCATACTTCAAGCTCCATTTCATCAAGTCTTCCTCAATATCCTGCTTAATTCCTATAGCAGGCATTGGATACTTATATATTGTAATCACCTTTAAGCCATTTAAATTTAGAGAAATAGAGAACAGCTTGTATGTATATCCTAGTATACTTTCCCTGCCTGGAGTCTCCTGTGTAGTAATTAAAGTTGAGTGCTTGGCTTCATTTCCCATTGTACAAGTCCACTACAGATGCAGGAGAGAACTCAGCGGTGGCATCAACAGCATGGAGAATGGGTCTCGGGTGCAATTGCTTTGTCCTCTGATTGTGCAATGATAAGTGCCCTTCAAGTGGCCCTGTATAGACCTAACAACCCAGATAAATAAATACTTAAGCAGAAAGAGTGAGGAAATGACTGAGCTGAGATGAATTTCTGCACAGGTGTCCAGTTGTGCACATTCAGCATTTGCAATGTTGGTGAATGCAATCATAAAAGTAATGCAATAGCAGAAAGTCTTTGAAAGTATAGAGAAGGAAGAAGAGAGAGCTATAGTAACTAAGCAACACAGAGAAGCTAGAAGGAACAGTCAACATTCCTATCAAACAATGGAAGACTAGAAAGCTCAGAAATTCCCCTGAAGTTGCATTTCACAGTCACAGTCTCTGCCATGGAATGAGTAATAGTCAAGGAAGAACTTGTTTCCTTCATTCCCTCCCTCCCTCCCTCCCTCCCTCCCTCTTTTTCTCCTTACTTTCTTCCCTTCTACCCTCCTCCCATCCTGTCCCTTCCCCTTCCCCTTCCCTTCCCATCCTTACTCTTTCCTTCCTATCTCTTTCCTTCCTTTGTGTTCCTTCAATCCCCCAGATTCCCCTCCACCACTGAAAGATTGTACCATAGCTGATGGGCATGCCATGTGCTGATACTCATCATGTGCAGATTTAGCTTTTCACCCTCTCTAGAAATTGCTATTGGCTGATAAGAGCTACCATGGTTAGGGTCACACTCTGCTGTCTCACCCTTTGCTAAAAGTTATTCCCCATACAGTTTCAGTCTTTGTTGAAGGACCAGTTCATACAGAAACATGAAGTTTCAGGCATCTTTGTGTAGCTTGACACAACTCTGCAAGAGCATTCCGACCTCAGAGAAAGTCTCTAGGACCTCTTCAGGCAAGTCCTAGTCAGGTCCCTTGAGACTATACTACAACCAACCTCTCCCTCTCTGTCCTGCTTCCTTCCTTGTGTCTGTTTTAATCAGTGCCGAAGGCATTCCCAAATAAACTTTCTACATGTTTTTCTCCACATCAAAGGGTGCTTTCTAGGGGACCCAATATATTTCCCCTCCCATTTAAGTGTTACTGACATTATGCAAAATTGACTGCTCAGTTTGCAATGATTCTAAATATTTTAAAGAGAATCATTGCAAACTGGGGAGGAACAACCCACACATGGCCCAGAGCAGTGTGCTGGGACTAAGACTGAGTTGAGCAAGCACTGCACCCCTCGGTACCTAGAACTATAAGGAAGGAGGGGTGCAAGAGGAAAAGGATCATTCTCAGACACAATTAGTCCTTCTCCAAATTTAGTCTCTGTCCTCTAATAACCTCCCCTCATATTCAAGGATGGTTTGATGTCCAGTCCAGCAGTATGCAAAGCATCAGTCTAGTACTCCTCTTTCTGGGGCCTTCTTTGCCCTAATATTAATACTGTCTTATTTTTGAATTAATATTTTCTTTATTCCCTAAGGATTTTCTATCACTGACATACAATATCAGGCAATAGGCAACAACAAAGTACTTTAAGTTCAGAGGAGATGATACCAGTTGTTAAAATCTAAAACAAAAGCCAGAGGCCTCATCCAGGCTCCCTCTTGAAGAGAGTGCATCCCATGCACATGGCCACACTGAGCCTTACTCTTCTTATCCTTAGGATGGGTACATTCACTCTCAGATTGGAAAGGATTTTATAGGTTGGACTTGCAAACTCCAAGGACTATTAATTCCTCATGCATATCCAGTTGTCCAGATACATATTAATGTTTGCACATGGTTTTCGGTTTTAGGAGCCTTTCTTTTTGCAGACGGGTTTAACTGGACTAAAAATGTTAGCTTTAGGAGGCAGTTTTATGTTGAATTTGAGACCACTAATATAGAAAGTGAGGAGCTAATGTTGGAAAAGTTCAGGAGATATTCTCCACAACTTCCATTTCCAGTTTGCAAGAAAAATGAAAGAGAGAGCTTCCACCTGGCCGGTTCTGTCTCCCTTCAGCACCTTCCCTGGAGACACACTGTAAAATAGCATTTGCTGAAGCTAGGCTACTGTACAATGCTGCTCCTTCGAGGGCCATGACCTTAATTACTATTGCCTATTATTCAAAAACACTAATTGAGTCATGGTCCCATTGCAAATGTGACTTAACTTGCTGTTTTACTGCTTGCTCAGGCACCACAAATAAAAAATAATGGCAGTTGTAATTAACTCAGAACCAGCTATATAACCTGCGCCTCAGCCCGTGACGGGTAAAAGTTCAATTAAAAAGTAAAGTTACTAACAGAGTAAGGTTTGGTTACACATCTGTCATTTTTGTGACAGGACACAAAAGTTACCCCATGCCAGCAGAAAGGAATTACTAGAGACTTGAAGTTACTTTATTTTGGTACTTTCAAAGATAAAGAAATAGTTCTGGGTATAAAGTAATTAAAATTACTACATATATTAAGTTAAATGATTAGTCACTTGCTTGAAGAGCCTAGTTAGGGTATGTGCTGTAGAGTCACAAGAAGTACAGTAGCAGTGAACAAAGGTGGGAAAAGAACAGGATGCAGTGATAAAAGGAAAGGAAAGCCTTAGAAAAATGTACACACACAACCCTAAATGTTCATTTTTGGAAGATTTTAAAATGATAATTGACACAAGATATTATTTCACATTCCTTTCCATGGTTACAGTGCAAAAAAGAGTTGGCAAGGATGTGGAGAGATCTGAACCCTGGTATACCACCTGTGGAAATATAAAAAGGCGTGTGGACTTTGGAAAACTCACTCATGGCTCTTCGAAAGATTAACCAATCTGAACATACAACCCAGCATTTCCAATGTTAAGTATGTGCTCAAGAAAATAGAAAACATGCATCTACACAAAAAGCTGTAGAGCACTGTTCATAGCAACAGTATTCATAATAGCCAAAAGGTGAAAGTAACCTAAATGGCTAGGAATAAGCAAAATGTGGAATGTTCACAAAACGGAATACTACTCAGCCATAGCCATAAAGGGGATGAAATTCTGATACAAAGTACAACATGGATAAATATTGAAGACAATATGCAAAGTGAAACAAACCAGACACAAAGGCCTAGATGTTGAGGTGAGGGGTATAACTTGGTAATGGAGTTTGTACCAAGAACATCTGAGGCCCTGGGCCCAATCCTCAGCTTAAAAAATCAAACCCAATAAATAACACCAAATCCTGTATATTGTATGGCTTTCTTTAGACAAAAAGCACAGAATAGAGAAATCTATAAACACATAACTGCTAATGGTGTAAGTTTTTGTTTTTTGAGCGGTGATGACAAAATGTTCTAAAATTAAATAGTACTAACGGTGCCGCAGTTCTACAGCTATATTGAAAACTACTTAATTGTGCACTTATAAAAAGTGAATTTTATAGTATATGAATTATATCTCAATTTTAGAAGGATTCTCAAAGAAAATTAAGAAATTGGAACTATACAGATTCTTGTATAAATGAAGCCACCAAGGCCCAACAGAAACTAATGAGGGTGTAGTAATTATTGGCCTATCCTTGCATCAGTCCAAAGGCTTACTGCCATGATGCCCTCTTTCAGACAGACACCTACCACCTTCAAGAGGCCAGTGAAGCAAACAGTTGAGGGAATAAAAATGACTCACAGTGAAAACAGAGGAGTCCACACAGGCATGATCCCTGAGCTTCCTACCCAAATACATACTGTAGTACCTCTGCTCATGAACCTAATTCTTCCCACGATTCTGGTCTCTTAAGTGTGTGAACCGAGGTACCACTGTATGTACAGAGAATATGCAATTTATGTAATTTTAAGTTTTTTCATAAGTAATCTGATTCATACAGAAACTGAAATCTGATGATGTCTATGATTTTAAAAACTACCACTAAATGTTCAAGCCAGTTTAAAATTAAATCCAATCTCTTTAAGTATGCAAACAATACTACAGGAAGGGTACACAGCCTTTTGGATAAGGGTGCTCCAGCTCTCCCTTCTCTGGCACACAGTGAATGGGCATTTCGGGGGCAGGGGAGAAATGTGGGACTACTTTCTTTACCAGAATTTGTGGATACATTCTGTAGTGAGTGTATCATGACCTGATATTTCTTGGTTTGGGAACATTTTCCAGTGCTGGATTCTGGATCACAGTCCGTCGTGTCCCCCCCCCCCCCGCCCGCACCGAAATCACTCAACTTCCATTGTTTTGTTTTGCTTTGTTTGAGACAGGGTCTCATTATATAGTTCAAGCTGGCCTTGACCTCACTAGTAACTCTCAGGCTGGCCTCAAACTTGCAAGGATCCTCCAGTCTCAGCCTCCCTGGTGCTGGGATTACATGCATGCCCCACCAGATTTTACTTCTATAAATCCTGTGCCCCTGGTCTGCCTTCCTCTCAGACTACCCTTCTGGTGGCCCGGTGCTGCCACAGACTTCTTGCAGCTTTAGCCTCAGCTCTGACACTTCCACATGCACTCTACCCCACAAAGCTCCTGGGAAAGGCCTTGGTTCTCAACTCAGCATCCAGGGCAGGCTGAGCATTCACCCTGGAGCCACCTTCTTGACTCCAATACAATAGGCATGACTGCCTCCCAGGCTAATCTGCACAGGGCCCTACTTAACATTTGGTTTAGAAGAGCCCTGTCTCTGCCCTTGGCTCTTTTCCCGTCCCTATTTTATACAAAGCTGAATGAGGCAAAATCTGGGCACACATAATCCAGACCTGTTCTCAACAATTCCTTGGGCAGGAAAAGTCAAGATTGCTCCCTTTTATTATCAGGCAATAAACCTCAATTTTTTGTGATTATATCATGTCTAATCTCCTCAGTATGATGAAATGAGCTGGGTGGTCCGGATTGGATTTGCTGCAGAAGGTGTTTGGGAAAGTGTTGATGAATTGGTAATTTTAATTTGCTTTCACATTTCAGAGGCTGAATGTTATTTCTGCCTTCACACTGCAATACCCCAAATCCCCCAGTCCCATACCATGTTCTGTCTTTTCCCCAAGGCAACTGGACATGTGAGGCCAACGACTTCTGCCTGGTCCTCAGAAGGGAAAGTGAGAAATACACTTTAATATTATTCAAATTATTGCTTTTTGCCACATTAAAAGAAAGACTTTAAAATACTTTTAAATTTTTTAACTGACACAACAATTTTACATAGTATTTGTGGGATATAATATCACATTTCATTATATGAATACGACATGAATTATCAGATTAGAAGAACTGGCATATTTATCACTTCTAATGTTGAACCTCTGTGTTGAAAACATGTACAAAATCCCCCTTACTAGCTATTTTTAAATACATAATTAACTGCTGACAATCATAGTTACCCTACTGTGCTATGTGATATTAGAAGTTATTTTTGCTATTAATTAAACCCCTCTCCCCAATAACCACCTTCTCTCCATCTCTTTCCCTCCTCCTTTCCCAGTCCCTGGTAACCCCTTATCTATTTCTGTCTCAGAAATCAAGTTAATTAATTAGTTAATCTAATTTAATGACATAAGGCTTTCAGTTTGTTCACAGATTAAGTTTGGCTACAGTTCACTACATAGAAACTGAGTTCAAACTTAGTTTACTCTAGTAATTATAAATGTACACATTACTCAGGGCGGGAGGGTAGGTAGTGGTTAAAATAGTGAAGAACTCCTGAGAGTTTGAGTATTGAAGTACAAACCAAAATGTGTCACTTTTCTAGATTAAAAAGTACCTTTTATTATGCTCACAGCAGGCGCTCTTGCACTGTGGTGAGAGAGATGCAGATAAAGGGGTGATGCTGTTGGAGGAATTCCTGAGAGAGCCCAGAAACCAGACAGCCGGGTACCAAATCCTGACTCTTACACTTAGTGTGTGATGTGGATGAGTTACCTATTCTCTGCCTGACTTTACTCATTTGTAAAACCGCAACAATAATTTATAGGATACTGTGACAAATAAGTAAAATAATGCATATAAAATTCTTAGAGCGGTGCATACCACATAGTAAGAACAATAAATATTGTATGTGGATGCCTAGTTAAAATGTAATGCAATTGTGTTATAAATCTGACTCCCTTATAGATCTTAAGAAATGGGCCAAGTCCTGTGCTGCGCATTAAAATGTCAGTGTTAAGAGAGACAGAGTCCTTGTCTTTGGGTTTTTATCAAAGCTAAAGATAGACTCCCACCCCAGCTCATTGTCCATGGGCAAGATCATGGGTTCTCTCATAGGAATTGCTCAGTTAGCCAAGGCTGCTTAGCTTTCCAGGTACCAGGCAGGCCAACCCATCTGAACCTCACCTCAGTTGATATGGGCTTCCCGGGTCCACCCTATTTAATCTCTTGGTTCGTCTGCTCCATCACAGCTGTCTGTGCATGCTCTTGCCTCTGGCTCTGGGCAGGTGTGAGGGCAGCCCTCGGACTGAGTTCTTCCCTCGTAGAAACACAAGAGGGCGGTAGTGGCACTTGGACTTGAAGGTGATGGATGTCTTAAAACAGAGGCCTCAAAAAGAAAAGAAAATAGAGATGATGGAAGCAAGGAAGGAAGGATGGAGGAAGGGAAGAAAGAAAAATGGAAGAGAAAGAAAAGTGGTTTGAGAAGAGCCAAGGACACATTTTAATGATTTTCCCAGGTCCTTGCTCCCCGCCCAAATTGGGCAAAATATGGGATTAATCCACTGAAGCGCACCCTGAAAGCTCAGGCTTTGCCTAAGTGGATGGGTGGAGCACCTCCAGGCCACATAGTGTCCAGACCTGCTTCCAACACACCCTTTCCTCCTTTCCCTGGGCCCCAGGATGTGGCCTGCATCCCTATCCTACTCATCCTACTCAAAGCTGTCTTCAACTATACTAACTGTGGGAGACTTCCTCTTCTATAGCAGTTGGAGTGAGAGCCCACCCCCACCCACCCCCACAGCCTGCCACACCCTGCCCAGCCCCAGGCAAGCTCACAGACCATTTTCCTTCCCTGAGATTTACTACCAGGAAACAGATTCCAAAGTAAAAAAAAATGAACAGACAGAGAATTACCAAGATAAAAGTACTCTTTTACAGCTTTTGTAGCAGACTTTAGTTCCTATTTTCTTTTCAAAACTAGATTGGATTTTGATGCTTTGCTCTTTTTCTAAGAGAGCAAAAGTGATAAAAGTGCAGGTTGGTCGAAGTCTGAGGATATTTCTAAATTCAAGAACTTGCAGTGTTAAAACAGTACTGGACAACTGCAAAGAGTTGTTCATCCCACACAGAGCTCAAACATACACCTTCCGGGCCTTCCTGACCAAGTACAGAGAGCTCTCCCAAGGCGCGCTAATCAACAGATACAAATTAGGGTTCCATCAGGACCCCACTCAAGCCTCCAGTGGGCAAGTTACCTTACCAAGAACTACGGGGTGGGTATTTCAGTCTCTTCTCTCTTCCTTCTCTCAAGTAGAAGGAGAAGCCGACTTCCTGCCTGAGTGCCTGGCTAACCACTTTCTAGGAAATAGTTACTTTTCTTAAACTCAGGAAACTCTCCCATCCCCATCTCAGCAATAGCACTTTGCAAACTTGTACTTCTAGAAGATTGTTTGAAAACCATCTCAAAGTTAAACAATATTTTTTGCTCCAAGACATCTAGCATGGTAATGCTCATGAATGCCCTGCACTTCCTAGGGACTGTAAGGATGCAGTCATTCCCAAACCACAGGCTCTTCTCCCTTTTCTCTGGGAGGGCTGGCTTCTAAACACCAGGTATTTCTGGAACTTTCCCTTGATTCCACCTCAGCAGCTTGGGGTCCACCCCTAAAAATGTCCAGGGCTGTTTTCAGGCCAGAATCTAGCTCAACACTGGGGATATTTCCCTAAGATGGACCCAGAGCCACCAGGGCATGCGAGCAGTAAGCAGAAGTGTGTGTGTGTGTGTGTGTGTGTGTGTGTGAACACATGTTGGCAGTCTGCCTGACTCAGTTCTTTGTACCTGCTAATTTTGGGATGCTCTTTGAAGCCTCCTTAAAGAGCACTGAGCCTGTACTTCCTAAAAATTACAAGGTCTGAATTCTAGTCAATATAGCTCTTGGGTCATCTCTCTGCATGCCAGCATACGTACGAGTTGGAGCAGACTGCTGTAAACAAATGGCAATCTTGCAATAGTCTTGACTTAAATACATTAATATATACACATATTTTTATGTTTTCCAGTTGTACTGAAAACCAATAAATGAGATTAGTTAAAAGCAACACAGA